AAGATGATGGTCTAGGTATAATAAATTAATCTTTTATATATATATATATATATATATAGTTTGCAGATACATAAGAGCTGAATTTGCAGAAGCCCACAACAAATTTGGGGATATTACATAATAATATCTAAATTTTGACTATATATGAAACTGTTACTTACATTCACTTTTCAAACACACATCCAAAAATTCATATTTATAACAAAACCTTACCCATATTTTGCATTTTTGTCAAATTTTTAGTAGCATGCACAATTACATCAGTTTAGTAATTTAAAAAAAAAACACAATATGGATACCAAATTTTATTTTTTTTTGGGTATTAACTGATTCATGAAATAACTATTTTTTGAAAGTTTATTATACATACATATACGAATATACATACATACATATACATATATACATACATATACGAATATACATACATACATATACATATATACATACATACACACACACACACACACACATATACATATATACATACATATACGAATATACATACATACACACACACACACACACACACACACACAGAGAGAGAGACACACACACACACACACACAGAGCTGGCAATCAATATGTGAAAGGTCTTTTCATTGCATTAATTGTGGATTTTAGGATTTAGGAGAAGTGGGTTTTGGTGAGTGCTTGTTTCGCTTTACAACTGTGTTCTTAATTTTATAGCTTTTTGACTTTTGTGAAGGGAGGACTAAGCGTGGAATGTTTATGATTTTTTAATTTTAATTTTAGTTATTCTATTGTCAAGTCTTCAAACTTTGAGATTATTATGGTGGATTGGTTTAAGAAGAAATGATCAAAATTCTTGAGAATTAAATGTTGGCAGTGTTAGAAATTATAAGAGTTGAATTTGAATCTGTCATATAAATCACACCCAAATAATATAGCGTAGATAGAAGATAGAGAGCACAATAAAGAACTGCTCTTTGAAGAATGATTGATCAACACTTATTGTATGACCCCCTATTTATAGGTAATGAAGTATAAAGTGAAAAATTACATATTTTCCCATGCTTTTATGAGAGCGTTATATAAGATATTTTAGGTATAAAAATTAAATGAGCCTATGACTCGGCAATCCAATCACTTGGCTGGCTAAGATCTTTAGTCCTCAAATTAAGGCATCCTACCGTCCAACAAACGACCGTGTGATTAAAATCGACCGACACACAATTGCGAGATATTCAATCTACAAACCATGCCTAAAATCCAAACCGACAAAGGTGCATGCAAAAGCATTTGATCGCAATCTTGTCGGTCAACCCACTTTTACTACGGGGAGCGAAATCTCCCATTTGATCGGACGACTCAACCGATCGACATTTACTTCAGGAGGTGCGGTTGTTGATCAGCCGGTCTTCTGAACCATCCAAATTCAAACAGGCCGACCAGCTACGACCAGCTAATTACCACCATACTGCATAAAGAACGTTTTCTATAATTGTTCCCTCTTTCTATAATTATACAAATACAATCCTATAAATAGGAGGTAAGAGGACAAATAAAAGTACATCTCTCTAGACTAACTACAGAGTAAACTCAACTTATTCTACTATCTCTCTATTCTCTACTTCTTCCTTCAGTTCAAACTCTCGAGACATGTTCACAAAGGACAACGTAGAATTCAACAACATAAAAAATACCACTACCACTAACAATTTAAAAGCTTTCATGCAGAAATTTTAATATCAAAGTGTTAAAAATGTAAATATCAAAGTTTTGAGTGTTTAGATATATATATATAGAATAACTAGGAAATATTCACGTAAATTTTCCAAAAAGGAAACAGTACAGTGAGCATCTTAGTTATAGCAAAATAAAAACGTAGCTTTAAAAAAAAATTAAAATTAAATCAGAACCAAATTAACAATAGATGCGAGGAAATGAAATACAAATAAAACTCAAATTATCTCCAAACTCTGGTCTTATACATGATCCTTGTATTCTAATAATCTCACAAATTTAATGCAAGTTTAGTTAATTTTGGGCTTTTATGCAAACAAAGAAGAGAATCATTATTCACAAAGAATATAACACAACAAATTCAGCCACAAATCATGAGCAAATTTAGAAGCCTTGACAGCATAGTTTTTCTCACATCTTGCATCAAATCCAAAACTAAAAATAAGAATTTCCATACATACAACTCTATTCTTATGTATTGACATATCTAATACCTAAACTTTATTTTTTGCATACATACCACCCTACACATCCATGAGAAGGCCTATTTCAGTTTTTAAAAGTTAATATAATGATCCTTGTGATTAAGATGTAAAAAAAAAAAAAAAGAAATTTTGAATGTTGCATATATAAATACATAAGAATTGAGTGATATATATATAAATGGATTCAATTTTTTTTCCAAGAGAATTTGGTTGTCTTTATGTAATCTCTCCTTCCTTTACTTAAAGACCTCCTCTTAGTTTTGTCCCACATCAAGATGTTGAGTAAAATTTCATTAAGAATCCACTACAAATGTAAAAATTAATGGGAGAAAATCAGCAATTTTTAGGTTTGCATTGTTGTAACAACCACGAAACAAAAAGATTTTACTTTTTTTCGTTCCTCTAAAAAAGTTTAAAATTTAAAAAAAAGCTGAATTTTCAAAAGTTAATTTGAGCCAAAATTAAAGCTCAAACACGAGCTTAACTCAAACAAATGATTTTGAATCTAGTTGTACACAAATAGACTATTCACGAGCTATTTCAAACACGAACCAAACACAAACAAGCAATGGGCTCGCTTCCTTCACTTTTGATGTGATGTGAAATACACAAGGGGCATAAATATAAAAAGTAAAATTTGAAATGTTATATATGTGTAAATAGATAGGAATTATGGGATAATGTAAGAAAATGAAATATATGATCAATATAATAATGCAGCGGAGGCGACCTGTTTTTGACCTAATCATAACAGATTTTGCCCATATTTCAACCACCCCACTGAAAAGAACACAATCTCAAACTCTCAACAACTCTGCCGTCAAATTCATGGAAGTAAGAAAAGTCTCAACAACTGAGTCTGATAGAATTAAATTGGCCTTCAGAGGCTTAGGCTTCAACTTCTGGCTGTTCTCTAATGACACTTGCAGAAAAAATTGCACAGCAAAAATACCACATAAGCATTGGTTGGCTCCTACTGAAGATGCTTTATTAGTTATTAAAAATGGAATATATATATATATATATATATATATATATAAAAAAAAAGAGAATCGGTATTTGGTCCAACGGGCACCAAATAACACTTCCCTATTTGGGTTGAAACCCATGTGTGCTTTAATTGATCCGAAGAGCCCACGCCACGGGATTCGAACCCCCGACCCGAGGGACTTACGTCAGAGGCCGCACCAATGAGTCGAGACGTGGAGCACACACACACGGACCAAAATAAAAAAATAAAAAAACAAAAGAAAGATTTACTTATATATATATACCACACAATTCCTTTGTATTTACATATATAACACATATAAGCCACCTTACATAGGCATGAAAAGGTGCATTTCACCTTTTTAAAAGTTAAAAAATTGATATTTTTTATGTGAAATGAAAATTTTGGGTGATACAAACATAAAATTAAAATATAGATGTTAGATATATAAATACAAAAGTATTGAGTGGTATGTATGTAAATGCCCCAAAATTAAAATCGTTAATTTTGGCATATAATGATCCAGGAAGAAGGCCTAAAGAGAAAATGGTCATGTGATTATCCATAAAACCATCTTAGAAATGTATGGGTTTGGTAAACCAATTTCTTTTCAGATTCTATATCGATGAGAGCTTTTGAAGTGCGTTATGCCTACATATTTCCTAATATTATATTTCAGCATAGCCGTTGGATTCAGTACATATATGGTCATTTTGAAAATAAACGGCTCAAATCAACATGCTTAAGAAAAAGAAATATATGCAAAAACGAAAAACATATGTACCACCTATGCACAAAAGTTGAGCACATAGCAAAATAAATGCTAAAAAGAAAAGAAAAAAGCCTTATTTTGCGAAGAAATAACCATACCTCCTTTCTTCAGGAGATCATTCTGCACTATAAATACTCCACTAAGCTTCCAATGCTCTTCAGCTTAAGATAAGAGTTGAGTATGGGGAAGAGGCTTCTTTTATACCTGCTCATTGGCTGCGCCATGGCTGCTAACATGGAGGAGTCTATGGCTGTGAAGGTGAGGCATTATAAGTTTGAGGTGGCATATATTTATTGGTCGCCAGACTGCGAGGAGAAGATGATGATGGGAATCAATGGGTTCTTTCCTGGGCCGACTATCCGTGCAAAGGCGGGGGACACGATAGTTGTCGAGCTTAAGAACAGCCTGCCCACCGAAGGCGTCGTCATCCACTGGCATGGTGTCAAGCAAGTATGGTTATGTGGTTTAAATGAATATGCTTGCCTCACTTGTGATCTTTGTTAATGCTCGAATAATATATACAAAATTTTATAGATTTGTAAGAATAAAAAATTTTCTCAAATATTTTATTGATTGTGAAGAGGTCATAGGGTATGTTATTTACAAAAAGGAAGAAGAAGAAATATAGATAAGGATGGCACAAGATTAGATTTAAGAAAAAAAAGATTACATACAGAAACTACATGAACGCTCAAATTGAAGAAATTTATAGGTTGGAGTCAAACCCTGCTTCTTTTTATTTTTATATTTTTATATTTTATAAAAAACCCTGATACTTTGGAAAACCAATAAGCTGACTGCTTCAGCTAATCTGAAAATTACATTCTCTTATGATTGAAGAATCGAAGTTTTAACTACAATATAAGCTATTCTATGTTTCTACCATTTTTATATGTACAATAAATGTTTTTTTATTTTTCTAGCATTTAAATAAGTAGATCATTGCATTAGCAGCAGAGAGTTAGGGTGTCCTTAGAACATCGGCATAGAATTTTGTTTAAAGATGTCATTTTCAAGAGACTAAACAATATCTGTGCCATGAAAGTCTTCTCCTGAAGCTAGCTCTTTTTCTTTCTTTTGACATTCTCATTACAACTAACGCAGCCACTATAAAAGAAAATCTCACCAACCTGCCACTAATTTAAAAAAGTAAAACTATAGTTTTTCAGCTTTACCAATGATGTTTTCAGCTTGGAACACCTTGGGCCGACGGAACAGCATCAATATCACAGTGTGCAATCAACCCGGATGAAACTTTTGTATATAGATTTCAAGTAGACAAGGTAATAGAATAATTCAGTCATGAAAACTTTACATACATAGCACAAAATTCTAATGTATTTACATATCTATACTAACACCTAAACTTTCATAGTTACAGACAACACACAAATTTTTAATATCACAATAAAAATAATACTATTACCACTTTTTAAACATGAAATATACATTTTCATGCATAGATTTAAGGCACCAAAGTGTTATGTACGAAAATATGAAGTTAAGTGTCAGAAGTGTAAATACATAAGAATTGTATGCTATGTATGTAAATTTCCCTTCATTCATTAATTACAACTATAATTAAATTAATAAAAAAAAGCATGTATAGGCTGGAACATACTTCTACCACGGGCACTACGGCATGCAGAGGTCGGCAGGGCTCTATGGCTCGCTCATAGTGGACGTGGCGGACGGCGAGGAAGAGCCCTTCTACTATGATGGGGAGCACAATGTCCTCTTAAGCGACTGGTGGCACGAAAGCGTCCACGCCCAGATGTTGGGCCTCTCCTCCATACCCTTTCGTTGGGTTGGAGAACCGCAAGTAAGCATGGAAAGCTTATAATTACTTAGAGCTAGGGACCATTCTGCTAAAAAGAGCACAATAATGAGAATATCACGGGGTGATTATGCACTTATAATTACTAATCACATCTTACATGGCAATAAGGATAGGCTGTGATAAAAAAAAAAAATAATAAAACCATTGAAGGAAATGGAGCACTCATGTAACTTCACACAAAAATTTTGTTTTTTGCTTGTGTTTGTTTTTTTTTTAACATAATTGTTTGGTATGCTTTTTTCGTGTTTTTATTTATTTAGTTATAAAAATAAATTAACATATTTTTCGAAACACTTAAACAACATTAAGGTGTTTTAAGAGTTTTTAAAAACAGTCATAACTTTAATTAAATAACCAAACATGTTTTGTTTTAAATCAAAATATAAATAAAACAAAACAAGACAAAAACAAAACAAATAGAAAATATGAAACAAAAGTGATCCCAAATGGCCCCATAATGTTTTCTAGTTATTATAAAAAGAAAGAGCAACTTTACCATGTACCTTCTAAAGATTTCTATTGTAAGCTTTAGTTGTTATCTTCAGAGACACTATGGCAAATAACATCAACTTTCAATAACTACAAAAGATAAGAAAATGGAAAGAGGAGGGGAGAGATAATAAAATAAATAAATAAATAAAATCTCTTCATGGTAGAGTTTAACAAGCTATTTTTGAATTAATTCTTATGGCTGCAGGCGATATTGATCAATGGCAGAGGCCAATACAACTGCTCTCTTGCAGCGCACCTCACTGAAGGAACAAGCTCATATAAAATTACAAATAAGCAGTGCGCTCCTGTTGTGCTCCAAGTCCACCCAAACAAGACTTACAGACTGAGGATTTCCAGCGTAACTTCACTATCTTCTCTCAATCTGGCGGTTGGGGTAAGCAAATTAATTATTCATAATATAGAGTTTTTAAAGAGTTATAAGTAGAATAGAAGCGTTGAAATAACAGAAAAAAAAAGGGAAAAAAGTTGCTGAGCACCATGTGCTCTGTTGCCCAGGCAGCTATTGGCTTCCACATCATCATCCAAAAAGTGTGGTCTACTAAGAGAGGCCCCACACCACTGTTCAAATTGAATTATTTAATTTTTTTTTTCTATTGAGATAAAACTGAGTTTGCATGTAGTCCATATTTTAAAATCAGCTCGCAAGTATATTTTATTTTTTAAGTGTTTTAGTTGAACACTAAAAAAAAGGAAGAATTAAATACTAGCACTCAATTCTCATGTACTTAATACCTAACATCTAAACTTAAATTTTTACATACATATCACTGTTGACCAAAAAAAAAAAAAAAACCCTGACCTGCTGCTCCCTCAAGAGTATCCTAACCTTTCCTGCACTTATTTACTAGAAAACGCATGCACTAGAAAAACTGCACGGAGAGTCATAAGAAATTTTCTCCTCCCTGCTCCAACCGTTGAGCTTAGGGCTCTGAATTTAGCTCGAAGATTGTTAATTGCTTGAAAATTGATTCGAATTTTGGCTCGGATCGAAATAAATGAGCGGGGCTCGGATCGAAATATTCGAATTTTGGCTCGGATCGAAATAAATGAGCGGAGCTACAAGCCAAAATTTTGGATTGAGTTTTTTTGGTTCGATCCAAGCTCGGCTCAAAATCGAATGATTAACAGCCCTAGTGATTTTAAGACTGTGAATTTAGAGAATTTAGTTCAAATATCGTTTATCACTTGAAAATCGATTCCAATTTTAGCTCGAATTGAGATTGAATCAAAATAAACAAGTCGACCTACTAGCTAAAACTTTGGATCGAATTTTTTGAGAAAAATTTGATCCGACCTCAGATCGGCTCAAAATCGAATCCTTAACAACCCTAGTTAAGTGACGCTCTTATCGTCACATCCTCTTCACTCAAAACCCTCATTGTCGCCTCCTTTATCCTGATCAATACCATCGCGGTATACTCGCGGTTGTAAGCATGTAGGAAAGCAACTGTGGTGTATGCGCCGAAATTTTTAGCACGAATCACAAAGCGATCCGACGACTAAAGATGATGACTCAACAATCAAAGCATTGAAGTTCAAGGAGCTTGATCCGAACCAGTCATCTGAAGACCAACAACTCGATTAAGTCAATCAACCTTCAGTACTGATGGATCCAGCCAGCGAACTTCTTTACAGATCCAACTGCCGAGGCTTCCTAAAAGGCTGACCGATAGCGACTAGCTGACTGATCTACCTCGACAGAAGTGACGATTAAGCGGCCTGTCTCTTCGGCCAACCGAGCCAAAGAACGACGGTGATCCACCAATCGTTGTTGTACCACATTCCAATTATAATGTAAATCTGGTATTACTTAGCACATTAATTGTATTAAAGACAATTTCCATAACTGTCCCCCATTTTCATAACTACGTAAGCAGGCACCTATAAATAGGGAGCCTAGCGATGAATAAAGGAACTTCTTCCCTCAACTCCTCTCCACATAATTCTGCCTGCACTGCGCTCTCTCTCTCTCTCTCCTTCGCTCAGCTCTAACTCATGGGACGTGTGTTCGCAAAAGACAATTTGGGATTCAACACCCGAAAATGGGGTGCAGTGAGCGTGAACATGCCACAAACAAGAAGCAGAGCAAATTACGATGGAGAATCCTCACAGAGAAACATGAATCTATAGAATTCAATAGAGAGACGTTGCGTCGCGACATACAGAAGGAGGTCAAAGCGTTGCGAGCGGAAATAACGAACCGGTTTGAGAATCTTCGGGCAAACATGACTCAACAAAACAACCAAACGCCGCCCTTGGAGGGAGAGTCTCGGAGAACTCATCCCCATAGAGCTCACCTCGACGATCCGCCAATGCCCAATGGTCAAGCAGGTGGTCGACCAATTGAAGGGCCGAGGGACTCTCAACTGGCAAACAATGCAACATCTACACCGGTTGTCCAACATCGGGCCGACCGAGTGGGAGAACTCACCAGGCCAGCTGCAGGCAACGCTTTCTCCCGCAAAATCCTGGGAAACCGTACCCCTGGCGAAGCTGAGAATTCCTCACTTCGATCTTTATAAAAGGAAGAGTGACCCAGCCGACCATTTAGCTTCTTTCGAGTAATCGGTTGGAGTCCTGCAGATCGATGACGCCATGAAATGTCGGCTTTTTTTTAAAATGTTGAAGAGGTCGTGCTCTGGTGGTTTAACAACTACTCAGATGGAATCATCCCATCCTTCTTCGAGTTCCGAAAGCTCTTCCTAGCACATTTTGCTAATGTGCAGAAGCCAATGAAGGATATAGAAACTCTACTCCAGATCAAGTAGGGAGAGAACAAAAACTTGTGATATTATATCACTCGCTTCTAGAAAGAATTGTTGGAGGTATAAAACCTGGAACCGCTCATCCCTCGGACCGCTCTGAAGCAGGGAATCTGTAGCAAGTGATTCAGGTAAGACCTGAACCTACAAAAACCAATAACCATCGTGGAAGTCTAGGAGTTGGCTAATGGCCACATTGTGGCAGAGGAAGACCTTATAGACTCCTCAGAAACCAAATTGAAGTCGTCCGACTGTTGATCGCTTAAGCGAAAGGGTCGAGATGACGGGAAGAGGTCGAAAGGCGATCGAGCCCCCGACAGTCGGTCGATTGACAATCCTTGCTCTTGCGAAAAGAAGCTTTGGGCATAGTTGTGTTGACCGTCGCGTTGGGGGGAGTGAGAAAAACAGTTCACCAACACGGAGAACTTTCTAGTGGTGGAATCTCCACCGACTTGGAATGTGATCTTTGGTCGATGACTAGTGATTGAACACTCCGTGCAAACTGTGAATTTGATGCAGTACACAGAGACCTACTGATACAAACTCTCCACGCACACTGGGATGTCTTCGCATGGACAGTCGTGGAGATGACTATAATTCTGATTGACGTAGCAAATCATCGGTTCCATATAGGCTTGTTCACTCAACCAGCGCAACAGAAACTCCGATCAACTGCAAGAACTTTGGTCGAAGCAAAGCAGCAAAAGTTCAGAATCTAAGGGAGGCAAGCCACATCCGAGAGGTGCAGTTTCCCACCTGGCTCGTAAAAATAGTAATGGTGCGGAAGCCCAACGACAAAAGGAGAATGTGTGTCGACTTCACTAATCTCAATACTGTGTCCGAAAGATAACTACCCCCTACCAATGATCGACACTCTGGTGGATGTAGTGGTCGGTTACACATTAATGAGCTTCAACGCATTCTCAAGCTACCATCAAATAAACATTCATCCGACTGACGTAGAATAAACCTCCATCATTGCCATGCAGAAGTGTTTTGTATGAGTGTAATGCCCTTCGAGCTAAAAAATGTTGGGCGACGTACCAATGCCTCATGGATGTAATTTTTTTGAATCAGAAAAGAAAAATATTGAGGTGTATGTGGATGATGTCTTAGTAAAGATTAAATCGACCGAACAACATATAAAAGAGCTAAGAGAAACTTTTAAAACCCTTACGAAATTCAACATGAAGCAAAATCCTTCTAAATGTACCTTTGGGGCATCGATCGGAAAATTCCTTGGCTTTCTGCTGACAGCCAACTGGTTAAAATCCAATCTAGAGAAGGTTCGAGCAATCTTGGACATGTCTTCCCCTCGGAATACTAAAAAAATACAAAAGCTAATCGGACAAGTAGAGGGACTTAGCGCTTCATTTCAAAGTCTGGCGACAAATGCATGGCATTCTTCACGGCACTATGAAAAAAATCAACATTTTCAAAGAACAGCCGATTGTGAGTCAACATTCAAAAGCCTAAAAGACACCCTAGCATTACACCGCTACTCCAAAGTCCGAAACCGGCAGAAGAGTTGCCACAATACTAGGAGTCAGATGAGGGGCGGTCAACTCAATTTTGGTCAGAGAAGATGCAAAAAAACAATTCCCGGTGTATTACACTACCTAGGTTCTCCAAGGCACCAAAACCAAGAACCCGATTATGGAGAAACTAACATTTGTATTGATTATTTCTTCTCGCAGGCTCCAGCCATATTTTAAGGCGCATCAGATTCGAGTCTTCATGGATCACTCGTTGAAGTCCGTGAGTGCACTCAATCGAAACATTCTGGTAAGTTGTTAAAGTGGGCGGTGGGACTAAGCAAATATGACATCAGGTATGTACCTCGGGCAGCCATCAAGGTGCAGGCGATCACTGATTTCTTAGCAGACTTCTTCGTGGCAGCAGAACCATGCAAAGGAAACACAACCAACGACAAAACCTGGATCTTGCACGTCGCCGGGGCGTACAAACAGGTGATTGCCGACTGAGACAAAAACTGAGCAATCCGACCGGAGAGCATGTCTATCAATCCGTCTTAGTAGAGTTCAAGGTTACCAATAACTAAGCAGAGTATGAGGCGTTGATCGTTGGGCTTATGAGATAGGCGCTTGCGGATTTGCTAGAGAAGTTGGACTCCCTATTGATGATCAATCAAGTTAACGGGGAATTTGAGGTCTGAGATGCACAATTGACTAAGTACTTTTCCAAGGCAAAAAAAGGGATCAAGAGATTCAAAAACTTTCGAGTAGAACATGTGGGTCATGAGGAAAACCACATGGCTAATATTCTATCCCAATGCGTCAGTTTGGGTGGCACCACGCAAAGACTCAGAGTCTGTTTGGGGCAGCTGCAGCTTATCCAGCTTCTGCTGATAAGCAGCTTATCCTGATAATCTGCTGATGATCAGCTGATCCGGATAAGCTGTCTGGTTGTTTGGTTGGCGCTTATGAAAAATAGCTGATTCTGAAAAATTGACCATTCTGCCCCTGTTCTGAATAAGCAGTTTGGTTGTTTGGTTAGTGTGTTTTATAAACAGCTTATTTCGAATTTTTATTATAATTAAATGAATAATTTGTGCAGCAGAATTTGTTTTTTTCTCAACAAAACTAAAGAT